TTTTTATAAATATAAATAGGCATATTAGTCTGTGGAGCATTGCAATGTGAAATACATTTGGAGAAGATAACCAGTGGTATTTTATGCTTTTTTTCCAGACTTCTGTTCTAAGGACAGAACATAGCAGTGTGTGGCCTTTTCCTTGAGAAGAATCGTGGAGATTCATAGACTTATCACTTACAGATCTTAAGGAGAGTGACCTTTTTCTTAACTGATTTGCACAGCTTGTCATCCTTTGCCAGCACCTTAGAAACTCTGTCTGCAGCCTTCCTGATGTCTTAATCCCAGCTGTTTGCTTCATTCTGCAGGCAGAGGTGCCGTAAGGGCTATTCTGTAGTGATGCACACTCTGAAATAATCCCTGTACTGAGATAATCACTGTTCCTTGGAACAATCGCTTGGTGTACAAGACTTTACTGTCTTACCTTCCCAATATTCTCAGCTGGTATGACTGTACAGGAAAAGATCCTCATACTGTAAGAAATAATTCTACTTCAATGAGCTCTGGCAGTGCAAAGTGCATTTTTTATCATTTCCCACAGTTCTCTGACTTCCAGTTAGTTTTGTGTAGGACTGTATAATTTAGTGCATAATTAGCAAGGGCAGCAGTCTACTGCTGTTACCTCTTTAAAGCCTATTTCTCCAGAATCAGGAATAATTCAGATTTAGCCTGGCTTCTCCTGGAAATACAGATAACTGGATGACTTTTGGCCTTTATATGAAATGAAGCTTTGACTGTACTAAAGAATACAGTGAGGTGAATGAGGCTAGGATAATCTGGTAGTGTTTTATTGACTTTAGTTACTGACATCCTGAATTACGTATTTTTTCCTAAAGCAGTCAAGTGCTGCTTTCACTTGTGTTAAAACTGCACATATTGACTGCTTATGTAAAATTCTCAAGACTGTAGTTATTTTCTTTGATATAACTATTTTTTCTGAAGCAGCCCTTTTACACTGCCTTCCTAGTTGTATCCTTTTTTGGCATCCCAGGTGGGTTTTGATTAAATTGAACTACCTTTGGAATCATGAAAACAGGCTTCATCTTTGATCTGTCTGTGGAGTGGAATCCTTAGACATCTCATCAAGGAGAGGTTTAAATTGGATGCCTCAAATCAGGTCTGAAAGGACTTGAGGGACATTTATAAACTTAAAATAGGAAAAAAGTTACTCTGTGGAATGCAGTTCATATTATACAGAACTCATAATTAATATCTAATACAAGACATGCTCTTCTTACATTCTAGTCACGGTATTTCATTCTTTATTGTGTATGTTTCCTGGTATTTTTATGGTATGCAGCACTTTCAGAGTTAATGTTTTAGCTGATAGGACGCCAGAAAATGTTTTAGGCATTATATCAATGGAGCTTTAGTCTGTGTGCCTTTTCTGCTTCATCTTGTTTGGCATCCCTTTCAAACATAAAATGAAAATGTGCTGTGAGTCTAGTAACAGTGTTTGTAAAACACAGTTTTCTTGAGCTTTCCTGGAGCTAGGGTCATAAATTTGTCCAAATGGATTTATTTATTTTGTCTTTATGACAACTCTCTTATGTATATGGAAAAAATCCCCAGCATTATAGATGAAAATATTGCAGCCCTCTTGAAGAGTTTTTTTGTGAAAAACAGGAACGCTTACTGTAGATAAGTAGTATCTTTGTGTTTTCTGTGCACTTTTCTTACCAAGATGTTTTTAATAGCTTATTAATTTACTGTGAAAGAATGCTACTAATTGAGTTATGACACTGGTTCACTTTCTGAGTGTCACGTTAGAAGATACCAAATGTTAATGAGTTTAGGTAAATATTTATAATTGAAGCAGTAGTTTGTAAGTTTACATTGCCTTCTCTTTTTCATCAACTGTAAAAATGAAAACTGTCCTGTGTAGTTCCCATTGCCTTTCTTGCAAGACCTTTTTTATAGATGTTGAGATGTTTTTAGAGATGTTTTTTTAGAATGTTGAGAAGAAAACAAGGTCTAACTAACCATTAGTCTAAGGACTTAGGTTTTACGCTCAGCTCTGTTGACATTTCAGTTTTTCTCCTTTCTGAATGAAATCTGGAACCATTGAAATTAGTGTGAGTCATAAGAACTGACTGCAAGAAAGCAAAGGTTTAACTCCACTGCATTAGTTTCTCAGTCTATAAATTCAGCTATTTATTTTCACCCACCACTTCAGCATGTGGTAAAGTTTTATAAATTGCTTGAAGATTCTGTGGTGATACAAGAGACAAAATTATCAACTTCTACAAAATGGAATTGTTTTACAGTTTGGTTTTGGGGATTTTTTTTGCCTTTTTTTTTTTTTAACTTCCTATTCTTCATGCTTATGTCGGTCTCTTCAATATGCTAATCGATGCATGTAAAGATACATTTACTGCAAAACCATCTGAGTTATCTGTCAGATTGTTATATGACTCAGCAGCAACAGAATCTGTAGGATTCACCTCCTTGCTGTTGTCTGGAACCCTGTTTGATGGTGAAACAGGTTTTTTCAGGGGGCTGCAGCTTTAAATAATAGTAATAATTAAAAGAGTAAGCTGATTTCCCTTGTCTTGAACTCAAATTTATTCTGACTCTGTATTAACCACGGTTCCTCAGAACTGTATCAAAGCATAACATAATTTGAGTGGCAGAAAAGTGTTATCAGTGTATCTAAAGGCTTCACTTACATTTCAGCTGTAATGCAAAGTGGCTTTCAGGAGCAGCTGAGCAATTAAAGTCAAGGCTAATCCAATGATGTTAGAAACAACTTTAGCAATTTAGAGATTTTCAGGATTTTATGTCATAAGCCTTTGGTGCTGACAAAATGTTCTCAGGTTCTAAATTTACTTGCAGCTATTTTAAAGCTGATCTCTCTTCCTAGTAATTATCTGACTTTGCATCTGATGTTCGGGAAAGGCCTATAAAAACTGCTTAAACCTTGAATTGGCTATTATGTCATGTTGTGGTATACTTGTTCCTACTGTGAATCACATGCGTTTCAATACCCACCAGTTTGTTGGCTGATCATAACTGTGGATACTCAAACATTGGAACAGATACCTGTTACAGCTTTCATGTTCATGAAAACCTACACTTGAGCGGTTGAATTTGCAAAAGGAAAATGCCTGCATGTTTAATTAACTGCTTAATTGTAGTTTACTTGAACCTTACATACTAGTAGAAAGGTGCAAAACATGAAATGGATCTGTTGACCAAATAAAGTGAAATTATATTAGTTTATTTAAAACAAAATAAAAATTGTCATGACCACCAAAATTCCACTTTCTTTTTTATTCCAGAATCGAATGGAAGAAAGTAAAGCACTCTTTAGGACAATTATCACATACCCATGGTTCCAGAACTCTTCAGTCATTCTGTTCTTAAATAAAAAGGATCTCTTAGAGGAGAAAATTATGTACTCCCATCTAGTTGATTATTTTCCAGAGTATGATGGTAAGTATAATGATGTCAGAGCTCATGCTCTATTTAGAGTGCAGTAATGACAAACTGTAATAGCCATGTTCAAATGCTACACAGATGGAGCCTTTGATATATTTTGCTCTTTTTTTTTAAGAAAGGTCCTTTTTTATGAGTTGGGGTGACGGTTTGAACTGAAGTATAAAAGCTAAAAAAGAAATAAAAATGCATTTCTCACTTTTACAGCTGTTTCTACTAAAACTGTGCTTTCAGGAATTTCTCCTGAGGTAAAAAGCTAAGCATTTTGAGGTAACTGCGTGAAGGCCTTGTTAACAGAGGAAAATCAAACTTGTACAAGAGGTCTAAAGAACTGAATGCTCCTGTTTTTTAAGAAGAAAATCTGGTTTGTCCCACCAGGAAGTGAATAGCAGATTTGAAAGCTTAATAAAAGATTGAATCTCTCATGTTCAAACATGAAGAGTAATCTCTTCTTCTATGGAGAAGAGAACTGGCCATTGAATATGCTTGTTCTTTTGAGTTTACTTCATATTACAGTTTTCCCGAATGACCTCTTGAACATGAGAAGACTCAACAGTCCGCTCTGCTACCACCACTCAAGTGATGACAAAGCTTGTGTTAAATGCTTGTCTAGAAAAAAACAGACAAAACTCAAGCACTTAGCTCAGAGAAACCCTGTTTCTCCTGTCCTTTGCCATGGTGAAGGAAGAAAAGATTATGGACTGGAAGGCCTGGAAGTCTTCAAGAGTCTGTGTCTCTTAATTCTGCAGATGTTTCTGGACTTAACTCCATAGACAAGGTTATGGTTTGATTTGATTTCTGGTGGCAGGGTGGGGTCTGTGACTTGCAGAGGTCACCATGTGGTCCCCTCTTCTGTCCCAGCACACTCTGGAGGTGAGGAGATTTGAGGAAGGGATCAGGTATGTTTCAGCTGGATCAGTTTTCCCATCTTTTTTCCTTCTCAAGGGAGAAAGTAGCATAGGTAGGAGACCTGCTAGCCAGGATGGCAAACTGGACTGATTAAATAATCTTAGTGGTTCTGCTGCATAGTGTATTGTAACAGCATTGGAAGGGGGACTGGAGTATGCTCAGGGATCAATGTATTGCATGAGGACATCCTTGCGTGGCTAGTACCAGAAATCTGGCTGGAATGAAGAGCTGGGAGAAGGAGAGAGGACAAAGACAAGAAGGGGTCATAATAGGGAGGAAAAGAAGAGAAAAATATTGATGTATTACTTCTTATATAGGTATTGAATGTCAGTGTGGAGACACTCTTCAAAAACTGCTGATGAGGGAGCAGTGGACAAGAAACTGATTTATATGGCAGTTCTTTTCCAAGTCTCCGTATTATTTAGATCACAGCCACTTTGCAGTCTAAATTTAACGTTGACTCATTCAATTTTTTTCTAAATTCCTGAGGTCGTAAACATTCTAACCTAAATTTTCCATACTTAAACCTTCAGTCAAATGATAATTTGAATTACTTTGGTAATTTTAGTTAGTCAGTAGAGGTTTGATGAGCTAAGCAAGTTTGGATACAGGCTTTGAATAGTGCAGTAGATTTTGAGATAGCAGTGTGTCTATTTAACAAAATTCTAGGAAGCTGTTGAAAAGCGTACGTGCTTTATTCTGAAGAAATAATTGAAAGTCTCGGAGTTTTGTTTACAAATACTGCAAATTTATTTGTGGTAGTGTGAGACTTGCAGCTGTTTCTATAGAGCCTGAGTGACCAAGGCAAAGAGTTGTCAGCCAAAGTCCCTTATGTGTTTTAGAAGCTGTAGAAGTGTTGAACAGTCCTCTGTCCTACTTTAGAGAGCTTATGGTCTGTTCACATCTCTAAATCTCAGGAGATGTGTAATCTGTATATGTATATGTGTGTACATGTATGTTCATGTGCGTACACTCATGTATTGCAGAGTCTTACTACTACTTGGATTTGCAGCACACCAGAAAGTATGCGATTCCGCTTCCATGCATCCCCTACCTTAGTTTTGTAGAGTTCTCCAAAATGGAAATCTTAGCAATTGTAAGCTTGAAGTATTAAAAAAAGGATTTATTGTTGAAAAATATGTGAGCATGGGCTAACCTCCAGATTTCATTACTGAAGGATAGAGCTACTACTATAACAGCTGAGTCCTGGTATTTATATTGCCGTGTAACAAGACCAGGACTGATGAAGAGAACAGGAGGAGGAGGCAGCACAGAAAACATGTGTATTCTGTAGAAACCCATGTTGCAAAAGCAGGAGAGCAAGGGAATAATGGCCTTCAGAAATTACACTGGAATAATGAAACAGAATTCAACAGCTTGTGGCTAATGTTCTTGCTCCTGCACTGCTCTTGGCGCTGTGAACGTGAGTGACTCCTCACTGTTCCAGGCTGGAAGTCATTACTTTACCTTCTGTCTTCTGTAAAGCTGAACATGTGGTTTAGTTACATAGGCTCTGCATCCTTCTGAGAATTACAACCTTAATTGAGATCTGATAGGAGCATCATCATACATAATTTAGATAACAAGTGATTTGTTAGAACATGATCCTTTTGCAGTCAAACAGCTTCAGCTGGAGAGCATGTGTATTTCATTATCACTAAAGTGAATAAAGTTCTGTTGGTGACAGCATCAGGCTAGTTCAGGATATAACTTCATTATGCTACCTGTGAAAATCCTCATAAAACTAAGTTTTGCAGTGCTAAAAGAACTTAAGTATAATTTAAATATAGTAGGTATAGACTGAACATTTACCAATTCTATTAACATTTTTTAAAGATTTATTAGTGTAGCTAATTTTCTGTTTTTCAGTCCATCCAGTTATAAATCACATTTTAAACATTAGCTTGCCAGAGAAAGAGGATAGTCAGCAGCAAAAGAGCAGCTTTGACATGATAGCTCTGACTTGATGAACTGAAATTCCCTTCCATCTTTAATTTTCATCGTTCCTGCCAGGAAGAAAGTAGCCGCTATATGATACCATAGATTAGTAAAAAGTTCCCCATCTTCTCTTACATGAGGACCACAGACTGACCCGTTCTTTTTTTGTCTTGAAGTTAAACTATTAATCGACTTAAAGAAAACTGACTTTCTCTTCTTAATTATCAGGACCACAAAGGGATGCACAAGCGGCACGAGAGTTCATCCTGAAGATGTTCGTAGACCTGAATCCAGACAGTGACAAAATTATCTACTCCCACTTCACATGTGCTACAGACACAGAGAATATCCGCTTCGTCTTTGCTGCTGTCAAGGACACAATCCTACAGTTAAACCTGAAGGAGTACAACCTGGTCTAACTGTGCCTAGGAGCCCTCCAAAACCAACTTTGTGTGATTAAAGATAATCAAGAGAGACTGTATTATCTGTGAAAACAATTTGCATAATACTAATTTATTGCCGGCCTGGACTCTGTGAATGTCCACAGAGTTTGTAGTTAATATTATGATTTTATTTAAACTATATGGAGGAAAACCAAAAGATGCTGAAGTACATTCACAGCACATTTCCTCATTTTTTAGGCAAAACCTTGTGACTCAATGTGTTTTAAATTTTCAGTCGTACATTTACAAAAGATAGCAGTTTTTTGCTATTGAAGCAAAATCAAGCTGGTTTCCGCTTTCCCTGACCCTTTCTCTCTCCTTCCTTCCCCTCCTTCTTTATCTTTTAAAAGGTACAATGGTCTTTTTTTCCTCAGTTGCATTCCTGGGTGAAATATTTTCTGTTGAGTGATTTGGTCAGGAAAATACCATCATCAGAATATAAGTCATCAGTCATTCTAATTTTACAGTATGTACTTTCTCTGTAGGATCAAAAGTATTGATACTGTGATTTTTAAATTCTTGACATGGGTGTTTTCATTCTGTCTTCACTTTTGGGACTAGAATATTTGGATTGCAAAACAGAATTACAGTTGTCTAAGGGTATTAAATTTAACCGTATTTTCACCATTCGGAAAGGTGCACAGAAGACAGTAATGAAATAATTAAGACAACCTAGGTGTATGTGGAATATGTTAGAATCTCTTTTTAATTGCCATGTGCCATTTTTTTCTCTCTTCTTTTATTCACAAATGCCAAATAGAAATATCATAGACACTACATTTTCCC